AACATGAAGGCCTCGGTGTTACATCCATCAGGGTGCAGCCACCGGTAATTAAGAGAGCTACGGTTTAGATGTCTACTTTTGAAACAAAGTTAAGAGAAGCTAGTTTTCCATAGCTATGCTAGTCTACTTGAAGGTATACTTGGGATACCCAATCAGAAAGGCCTAGTGGGAATGGTTTTATTGGATTTCCCTTGTTCCTAGCCTATTTTAGGTGTCACTTGTTCGACCCAATCCCAAAGTGGGGTAGCGACAATCGAGAGTTGATACATGCGTATGGCTCTTAAAACATGGGGTACCCAGCAACAACCCACAGGAGTCATCATGTTTAACCATTTTATATAAGCATAATAACCATTGGCCATAATACATATAACCATGATCACCATTAGCCATAATAACCATGATACCATACCTTTTTAACCAGTTTCTTCATGTTTATTCAGTTTAACACGTTGGAGGCCCAGCAACGTTTCGGTCCGATCCATCGGATTCCATCGATCAACGCCTCCGAGCCATGGATGGTTTCAACATGACTATGCCGCGTATGATCAAAATGGTCTCAAACTACCAACCAAATGTTGAGCAACAAGGTGCTTCTAAACAAAATTTGATACGTCCTGAAACATGTTACATAGATACCCAATATAAGCTGAAGTGTACTAAGTCAACAAGTCAACAACCTGAAAAATAAAAATAAACACATATCTTAGAATCATTCCCCAATCCAAGTCCCATCCTCACACTGACCTCACAGGTCGCGAGCGAACTTCCCGCAGTTTTGAAATTGGTGATTTGGTGCCTCCCAACCCTGCAAAGACAATGAAGCTCCGCTGCGATATGCTTCTATTGCCTGCATCACAGAATCACAGGTAGTCACCAGCCCGAGTTCTTCCAATCTTATCCCCATCACCCCATCCCCGTAACTATATACAGTAGATTCAATAGATATATCTACAATTCATCCAGCAATTATCACACTTCCAAAATGTTCTACAAGCAACTTCCCTATCTTGATCCCATGGCAACCCCATTGGACGCTGTCACCGAGCCTCGTTTCAAAAAAATGCGCTCGTCAGGGTTGAGCCGGTCGGAGGAGTCGGAGGAGTCGGAGAGGTCGGAGAGGTCGGAGAGGTCGGAGAGGTGCCGGAGTCCTTGGAGCCGCCGCGACGGGTCTTGGAAGATCTTAGCCCCAAGCGCATCTCGGGGTCCAGTTCCTGCGTGTGCGGCGTTCAAAAAGGCGCTTGGATGACATGGAAATGCATGGACAATATGGACATGCATGTTTCGGCCATAAGTTCAACTGAAATGTCTGCCTTTGGAAGATGTTTTTGCCCGAAGTGTTTTTTCCGCCTGAAGGGGTCTTGGCCCAGCTTGCTTGATATCCTATGTTGTGATGCGATACCACGCAGTCAACAGTTTCACGAGTTCTGGTTTGAAGCAGCATGTTTTTCAAATTGAAGGTTTTCCAGCACAAAAAAAACAATTTGTCATTCTTGGAAATCAGTGGTGGTTTCCCACCCGATTCGCACCAATTTCCGATTGAGATTTGTTCATTACAAATTTTGCCCGAATTATCTATGTTTTTTTTTGCAGTGCACACTGGATCATGTTGCTGTTGCAGGTGGCATCAACCACACTTCACACCTTCTGAGAGCTGCAACACGCGTTTATGTTGCCAAAAAGTGCTAAAATTGCCTGAATCCAAAATTCCGCCCTCATGTTGACAAAAACCCAAACCAATGTTCAGGCTGATAACCATAAGAGGCTGGAAGTCCATCCCGAAGGAAGGTCTAGGAATAGGAAATTTATATATATATACATACACAAAAATAATGTATATACATACATACATACATACATACATACATACATACAGACAGACAGACAGACAGACATACAGACATACAGACATACAGACATACAGACATACAGACATACATGCAATTAGTAGTAAGTAGTAGTAGTAGTAGTAGTAGTAGTAGTAGTAGTAGTAGTTAGTAGTAGTAGTAGTAGTGGTAAGTAGTAGTAGTAGTAGTTTAGTAGTAGTAGTAGTAGAGTAGTTAGTACAGGGCCACATTTGAAGGAGGAGGAAGGGCTGCTTTAGGGAAGAAGTTAGGTGAGACAGTAGTTTAGAGCTCAGTACGTAGTAGTAGTAGTAGAGTAGTAGTAGTAGTAGTAGTAGTAGTAGTAGTAGTAGTAGTAGTAGTAGTAGTAGTAGTAGTTAGTAGTAGTAGTATTAGTAGTAGGGAGTAGTAGTTAGGCAAGTAGTAGAAGTAGTAGTATAGTAGAGTAGTAAGTAGTAGGCACGGTAGTAGTAAGTAGTAGTAAGTACTAGTAAGTACTAGTAAGGAGTTAGTACAGTAGTTAGTAAAGTCAGGCAGTAGGAAGCAAGTTATGTAAGTAGTTAAGTACGTAGTAGTAAGTAGTAGTAAGTAGTAGTACGTAGTAGTAAGTAGTAGTACGTAGTAGTACGTAGTAGTACGTAGTAGTACGTAGTAGT